TGCTATGCCGAAGGTCTAGGTATGCAAACAAACCACTGGGATGCATAATATATCGTCTGTTTTTCATACAATATATATTTTAATTACAAAATTACATCAAATTCACATAGGCTATCACACGCACACCCACACTAGGGTCAAGGGCAGAATTTAATATAAATATTGGCTCATAGGGTCATCCGATTTCCCGGCCGGTTAAATGGTCATCGTGTAAAGTAAGCGCATGTGAAAGTGAAGAGCAATGGTATAGGCCTAATACTGCAAGCAATCACGCAATTCAGCGTTTCGTTTCTTGTAAGATGAATGTTTTAGGGCCGTACTGCCTGGCGACTAAAACTAACGAGCATCAATGTAAATAATGTAGAACAATATACTAAAATGGAATGAAATTGGAAGCGATAATTAATGGTAGGTTGATACATGAATCGATGACTTAAGGCAGAATTAGACTGATAAACAATGGAAGATAAATGCCTAGCCTTATAAGGACATTACTGATGACGAAAGCAAACACATAAAATATTATCAATGGCGGATCCCATTTTGCCCCACGAAGTATATATTCAAACAAAGTATATTTCAAATAACAGGCCTACTCAAATAAACTTCCCAAATCTATTATTAATGTAAAAATAGTACAAAACATTATACCACAAAAGACTGGAAAATGAATTGTTCTACACACTTTCATAGTTTACCACGGCGGTTGTGCTTTGTTCTCCTCATTGGCATGCCGTTCGCAATGGGAAAATAAATATCATCGTCAGATTCTAAGTTATAAATGAAAGGATAATTGAACAAAATATTCAAGCATGTTATATGAGAAACAAATGAAAATAATGAGTATAATAATGATCGACATTCTGAAAAGCGTGAAATAAGGATAGCAGAAATAAATTGCGTTGGTTGCAACGTTTCAATCAGGGCGGACAATATCTGGAAATGTCCAGGCGCTTTCGTCTTTGTTTAATTCGTTTGCTCTAATTTCGGAATAAATAAATAAATCATTTTGGGCAATCTGATTGAAACGTGGCAAGAATGAACAATTCAAGTTAGGTTAGAATTGCTGCAGTTGTATTATGCGGTGTGCAATCCAGCATTGTGATAAGTAAATAACAGAATCAATGCACTAGAAAGTTATTGTTTATGTAAAGGCTGGAAATCTACAATGAAAGTCAATGGGATGTGGTAAAGAATTGACCTATCATTTAACTTTACACACAAATGCATCTTGATATAACTATACAGATTATTTTACCCAACTCCGATATCTTATAGTACACCACCCAAATGTCCCATTCAAAAGGATTGTTCTACCCTACACCACCCAATGGACTTTGCAGGCGTGTTAATCCACCTGAACTGACCAATCACAACAGGGCAGGAATACGTGCGTGTCTTACAAACACGTATGTCCCACAAAACGGATATGTTATGTACATGTACGCATTTCTTTTGTAGGACCTTGCAATAATATCCAAGGGACGGGACTAGTAGTGGAAGGGTTCATTGTAGTCTTCCAATCGACTCTTTTTACCCCAAACTACCCTAATGTACAGTAACATTCACCAGCAGCGCCGGCACCAGAGACATGTGCTAAGCCCGCAAAGTGACTCAGCATTGTAAAAACATACGCAAACGCATGCGCGTGTGGGACAACACGTGTTTTGGTGAGACATGCGCGTATTCCTGGCATTGTTCCTGGCGCGTATTTCGCCTGACACTGCGGAAGGGCCTATTATCATTCACCAGGGATTTTTAACCTCCTAATAATCCATACTTACCCTCCACCAGTTATTTTACTCCGTACTACTTCCAATGCGCTTATTTTACCCTCTTATTTATACTTTAAAGCTAATTTATAATACATTATCATTTAGCATGTTTGTAACTAGAATACTATACTGTATAACTTAACATGAAAAGCAATGAAAAGAGATCAATACAAACATCATTTTATTTCAGTGAATTCTAATGTAGAAAGGACATTTTCAAATAAGTTTGACCCCCCACTGTTTTTCGAGTTGATGGACCCCCTGTTGGCAAACTGAGCCAATAGCAAAAGGAGAGAGAAGGTAAATGGAAGGAGAGAATTGAAGAATAGGAGAAATAAGAATGAGGAGGAAAAGAATAATAGGATGGAAGGGGTGTAAGATTAAGAGGGGTAGTTGAGTATAAGTAGAATGTTGGTGTTGAGGAAGGTGTACAGAGGGTGTAGAGGGACAACATCTAATGCCCATATATTCTAATGTATTAGTTACCGCAGGAACTGTAAAGTCCTCTTCAGACTATCAAATTTTATTTGACACATGTGACATGCCTAAATATGGTCATGATGACATCACATCATGACCATGTATAGGCACATCATGACTATATATGGGCATACAAATTAAAAACAGTTTTTTGTCAAAGAAAATTTGATAGTGTTTACAAGCTTTAGGTATTTTATTATGACTGTCATTATCACCTTTGCTAATGTACTTTTAATCTACCTGTGAAGGAAATGATAGTTCCCATAACTCCCCCGCACCAAAGTAATAAAAGACTTTGTTTTTCTAATAAATATGAAGCATAATAAATGGTGAATGTATTGTACCATTATCATCATATGCATCCGGCATTCTGCTATAGGGGGGTAGAGGAGAATGACGGTCTGAAAACAAACAACAGGTAAACAAATACATAATTAGCAATGTCAATTTAAAAATCTAACCTGTAAACAAAAAAGGTCATTTAAATACAGAATAAATATGACAATCACTTCTGCGAATAAAAACCCTTCAATCTTCATATATATCAAGCAATTTAGAATTGATATTATTTTGTATAGCTCTATTATAAAAGTTTGTTTTATCCTGTTTTTGTCAAACTATTTACATTGAACTGTGTTTTAATTATTGTTAATTGCTTTTTAGTATTGTAAGGTACATTTTTTTCAATTTCGATATAAAGCTGGAAATTAAATAACATAAAACTATAAGATACAAAGTCAATGTTCCTTGAAAAGTAGATACGGATAATAGACACATCAAAAAGTAAAGCAGTAAAGCAGTGAAGAAACAGGAAAGAAGTTCTCTGTACTAGATCAACAAATAGCAAACATGTACACACATTTAAGAAAGTATAATATATACTCCATGTATTGAAATACACATGATCGTGTTGGGATTCAATACTTCAACATAAGTTATATCATCATCAGGAGCAAACACAAGTGCAAGCAACCAACCAACCATACAAATATATTCAAGGCATTTAACAGCAAGGGAAATGTCTTGGAAGGCTGGGGTGGATGCAAGATTAGGCAGGTGGGGGGGGGGACTGTCTCTTTTACACATCTAGAAGAAATAATTGCGAATATGGACCTATAGGAGCACGGAAATTGTACTCCCCCTCCCACCTCAAATTTTGGCAAACTTGTTGTAAAGTAATTGACTTGGAGCACTTTACTATTTCTCCCATCACTCCACCTTACGTTTACAGAGATAAATTATGCAAATTATTATTACAAACACTGAATTACAACATATGGATACACTGTATTAACATGCTATGTGGATCAGAAATCAGAATAATTTTGCTAAACAAACAATTCTATAAACAAAACAAAAAAAATCTAGCATACACCACAAAGTATTCAGAAACATAACCAAAGCCAAACTATTAAGCTAAATATCATAAAGCATCTGCAGAACAATGCTACAGGTATTTTCACAAAAGACTACCCATCTAGAAGCATGCAAGTATTTTGTACATGCACATTTAAAATATAGAAAAGAATAATAAATTTCAGACAGAACAATCATGCTATTATTGTACAGTATGTAAAATTATTACATATACTACTGTATACTAGCAAAAAACTATAATATTGTTGGTACCTTGGTTTAACAATGCCACTTTTCGTGATAATTGACCTTTCTCAGCGGGTTTGAAATTTCTTCAAAATATTGGTAAATTTCCTTTAGCTTCACTCTTTTATCTCCCTCTCTCTCTCTTACAGGGGCCTAAACTATTCATCCTGGGGGAAGGGGATGCGAAAATTGAGAACACAGGACTAAATCCATATTCCAATGAAAACTTAATGGTGATTTTAGGTATTTGAACTCACTTAGTGGATCTAATTTGCTGCCATACAATTTGCTATACCGCCCCCCCCCCACCCAACAACCTGTCTCACAGCCCGAGCTCGCACCCTCAACCTATGTCCATACATTTACGCCAAAGTTTTTTAGCCATCACCAAGTCAGAAAAATAATCAACCTTTTAAAAACAATGAACTTTTATTCAAATTTCCTTTCAAAATACAAGAATCAACAGACAGAAGAATAAGAATGTTTGTGTGAACATAAACAAACTGATAACAAATCTTGTTATAAAATTTCTGGTTCAGTTCATTTTGAAATCAAATAATTTTTAATAACTCACTTTCACCATAATTGAGATTCTCATCATAAGCCAATTTTTAGTTAGAACTGCAGTTGTTGTATCAAGGTCAATTTACATTGGTGTATGTTAGTTGACCTCGACTGACCAAGGATACAGGCAGTTTGTAACAATATCTTCAGCATCATCACCAAA